TGGTATCGAGGTGAGTCATTGCTTAAAATGTTTGGACACGTTTGGACAAGGATGAATGGAATATGAAACGGCAGCTTGGGTCTGTTGGGATCACAAAATCTCCAGCAGATTTCTTCATGCAGCTTCTCTGCCCCCCGGGCTCTTTTTTTTTCCGCGCAGGGAGACGTCGATCTTTTTGAATTTGAAGCCGTGCTGAACTGTGTCACCACAGGACGGAGTGGGGTGGGCACCAATCGCATCCCTCAGTTGGCGTCTGGAGGATCCGACAGCGAAGAGGCAGAGGCCCCAGAGGCCGAAGCTGGAGATTTTCGGGCGACTTTCTGCTGGCATTCCTTTCTTTTAAAGAAGATAGTTTTACATGGCCGAGAACTCTACCATGTCACAATATATGATAATGTGTGTGTGGTTTTAGCTGAGGCTCGAAAGTGAGTTCATGTATTGTTTTTCAGCCATTGGTGATGGTTTTAGGTACCCCAGTTGGTCCGATGATTTCAGAGAAGCATTGACTTTTTTGGTGCCAGTGATCCCACGAAACTCATAGAATGGGGGCATAAAATTGTGGTGTCCTCTTGTTTTCTTCGACCAATCCATTCAAGTAAGACATGGTAAGGCTTTCAGAGAAGCGTGGGCCTTTCCGGGAGGCCCCTCACAACGTTCCTGCAGCTTTCGGACACCAAGAGGGGCCCTTGGCTGTGCAGCTGACATGATTCGCGCGGGGCCATGAAACAAACCAAGTCAGGCTTTGTTCTTGTGAGATTTCAAATTTCCTTCAAAAGTGTTTACATATGTTTGATAGATATTGTCATAGATATTTACAGATATATCATTTATAATCATATATATTCATATATTGTCCATATATGTCCATATTATATATATATACATATATATTTATCAAAGGAAGTTTAGTTTGAAAACTTCCAAATTATGGACGATTGTCATGGCCCGCATTCTCACCGTCATGGCAACCACATCATCATGCCATCATGTCAACCACATCATCACACCTTGAAAGCACTCTCGGACGCGGCTCCCGTGGTCGCCGAAGTAGGGTCTCTGTTTCCGCGGTTTCGGGCCTTGATCTGCAAAAGTGGTCGACAAATTGTGCACACGAGACTGTAGCGAGAGCTCGGTGTCACATAAAAATTGTAAAAAACTGGGGTCGGAGCACTTTTGGAAGATGGGCTGGCCAAATGTGCACAAGACTGTAGCCAGAGTTCGATTTCACATAAAAAAAAAACGTAAAAAACTGTCATGTTTGGAGCGCTTTTGGAAGATGAGGCCGGGAAAAGGTGCACGAGACTGTAGCGAGAGTTTGATTTCACAACGAAACAAAACTGTCACATTCGGAGGATTGTTTGAAGATGAGGTTGGCAAACTTCATTGATTTATTGATTCATTCATTCATTCATTCATTTATTCATTCATCCGTTCATTCATTCTTTCATTTCAATTCATTTCATGTCATTTTCAACTCATTTTCATTTCATTTCATGTTCATTTCATTTTCATTTCATTTCATTTCATTCATTCTTTCATTTATTCATTCATTCAACTCAATTCAATTCCATTCATTTCAGTTCATTTGGATTCATTCCGATTCATTCCAATTCATTCTAATTCATTCCGACTCATTCCAATTCTTTCATTCATTCATTCGTTCGTTCGTTCGTTCGATCATTCATTCATTCATTCGTTCGTTCCTTCCTTCCTTCCTTCCCTTCCATTCCATTCCATTGCATTCGGTTGCATTGCATTCCATTCCATTCCACTCCATTCCAGTCCAGTCCATTCCATTCCATTGCGTTCCATTCATTCATTCGTTCTTCCTTTCTTTCTTTCATTCACTCATTCACCCATTATTTCCTTTCCTTTCCTTTCCTTTTCATTTCATTTCATTTCAATTTGTTTCATTTCATTTCATTCATTTCATTCATTTCATTCATTTCATTGATTCCATTCATTCATTCATTCATTCATTTATTCATTCCTTCATTCCTTCATTCCTTCATTCCTTCATTCATTCATTCATTCGTTCCTTCATTCCTTCATTCCTTCATTCCTTCATTCCTTCATTCCTTCATTCCTTCATTCATTCCTTCATTCATTCCTTCATTCCTTCATTCATTCTTTCCCTTCAATGCATTCATTGCACTTCACTTCTTTCCAGCTCACCAACAATTCCTATAAGAAAACAGTTTCCTATAGTCATGTTCTATTTTCGAAACTTCCGCCCCGGCCCGTACCGGGCACTAGCTGGTATATTATATATTTAGTATTTGTATGTATATGATTTATTGAATTTATTGAATATCAGACTGTAATGTATTCCAGTATACATAATTATATGTATCTATATATCTATATATCCTAAAACATATTTTTGGTTTACACTATTGGTTGGTAGTCACCAGGCAAACCTGGTGGCAGTGCCAGACAAGCTAAACTCAGCCAGGACTTCCTGGTTGATGCCTCCCAGGTGAACGGTTGTGGCATGATGTGGCTGCGTGTTTAATATGGTTTCATGGTATACCCCAAATGCTGAAACATGGCAAACATGATGACCATCCTTTGGAATTGGGAGTCAGTTGCAATGCGTTTTTTGGTGGTGAAAATTCATGTGCAGAATGCTCTTGTCAAGATATGGTCCATGGGTCCATCCTTCCGACATTAACGCTGCATTGCTCGATTCGAAGTGCCTGAAGTGAGTCGATCTTGTGCAGATCAATGGTTGATCCCAAATGCGGAAAAAACCAGACAACAGGGACACGCCTCATCGTTTGTATGTTTAAATTTTCGTTTCAAAGACACCTGTGCTAACTTTGGATCTCTTAGACTGCGACACAGGCAATGCACAGCAACACCAGCCACACCAATGCATGAAACAAAATCTTGGAAATAGCACCAGCGTCAAACGCCGCTGGTTTCTTCTGCGCGCGGGGCGCCATGTCAGTACGCTGCGCACACCAATGCGCGAGGTACGACCGGCACCGGCTGTCGTGATAGACAGATTATAGACAGTGTTTCATGGAAAACACGGATTAGATCGGCCTTGGCTTGGCAGAAGTCCTATTGAACTTGGGAGGTATTTTTTCACAGATTTGTGCCGGCGATTCATGAACCGATTGCGGAGTGCAGATGATGTGTTACGGTGCAATAAGGAAATATATTCCATACATACACGCTCCCCCCAGTTAGGAACCCCACGGAGGTAGTCTAATGTTTATCTTGTTTGAAAATTGTATAAGTTAAGTATACAGCATATTAGAAAGCCTCTATTATCTGGTACGTAGGCATTCTAGTTAGCAAGTCGATTAATACCAAGCAATGTTTGAGTAGTTAGTTTCGGTGATTGGGAGGAGCATGGCGGGGATAGGGCCGTAATGGCAATTTTGGTGTGGGAGAAGAGCGCACAAATGAGAGGTTGTGGCTTTGGAATACTGAAGATAGCATGCAAATAGTGTGTACACATATACATATATATATATACATTACATATATGATGTGTAAATTAATACTATCTATATAATATTATTAATAAATATATTTATACACCTGGACTCCCAGGTGCTACAAAAAGGACTCTCGAACATACACTAACTGGAAAAGCGTCCTATTGAAGATTCCAGCATATTCCGACTGCCCAAATCCGATGTTTAGATTTGTGGATTTGTGTTTGAATGTACTAGTTTTGCAAGAAATTGCTCAGCAAAAATTGCGAGTTGTGCCCTGCGTTTTGTGCAAACATTGTAGAAATCTCAGGAACTTGGACTACTCTCTGAAGAGCATGAAACGGCTTCCTACACCATTGCACGACCATAGTACAGTATTTCTTTAAGGTACCAATGCTGATCCAGGCAACAAACATAGATCCTTTAGCTAATTATTGACACAACATGCACACTGTAATTTACACTACTCCAGCGTGATAAAATCCAAATCGATGGTCCGATTTTGCCTCGCAAACCGATGGGAAACAAGGGAACACAACTGCCTCACTTGGCTGCCGCCACGGTATTCTATGCTGTCGTCTTGTGTAGCTGCTTAGCATTGACACTGTTGTTTAAATGTGGTTTTTGATATATCAAAGTGTTTTCTATAATATAATGTGTGTTTCAAAGATCTTAATTGATGCATATATATACAATCTACCTGCTTAGGTATATCATCAGGAATTTTTAGTGTAAAATGAAATTCCTTAGGAATTTGATCTTGGTGGAAGGATTCTTGGTGTACCCTAAGAATTTGCATTCAAAACCGTTCGAAAGCGAACGAATGCGAAATGGGAAAAAACCGAATAAGACTGAACCCAGATGAAAATCCATCAATAATATCAATATCATACAAAATCCATCATTGATTCGATAAAAATGAACAGAAATGTTTGCCCATATGAATCTTGAGGTGACATTATACATGAACCTCCAGCCCTGAACCGGTCCAGGCCTTCCCATGCAGGTGGTCCAAAAAGAACCAAAGGTCATCAAAGAATGACAAGCAAACATTGCAACCATGTGCAACGTATATGGCACCAATGTTAAGAAGACTCTTACACTACAAAGGCCATAGGAAACACAGGATGACACCCATGGGTTCGCCAGTGTATATGCATTCCAATATATTCCAATTTAGATACCCATTAAATGACATCAATTTGTCTTGCCCTGGTGCTCATCCTATTCTTTTTGCTCCATGGTGCTGGCTGCCAAAGATCTTCGTGCCAATTGAGGCCCGCTGGGTCAGGACAGAAGTGTGATAAACGACATCCCATTCTCTTTTTTCAAGTTTTGAAACAAAAAATCCCAAATTATGTCAGTGCGACATATTTTTGTATCACATTTGATCACTTCGGCCTTTAGTCTCACATATGGAGATTCAGATTCGGCATGGCTGGCAGCTTCACTGCATTTTCCACCAATGGCCTGCACAGCATCTTGGTTCAGTGGGGGTTTAGCCAGGACTTAACCCCTCTAGGTTTGCTGCCTTTCTGGTGCACAACCATGGCGGAGCAAGCTGATGCTCTTGCCAGAGAGGACTATGAAGTGGGGAAATCCGAATCCAAAGGTAAGGGCAACAAGGTGGCCTACAACGTTACCGGGTTGGCATTGATTTGGGATAACACATCCCGCATTCGGCAAAAGTTGCGAGATGGCAACAATCTTCTTCAGAACTATGACCCCAAACTCAAGATGTGCACGAACCACGACGTCGAAAAAACCATCAAGAATGTGAGGATGAACATGTCAGTGTTAAAACCAGTTTGTTCCTTGACCCGCACTCATGGACTCCTTCCCTCCATAGACACTTTGGTGGAAGAAGTCAAGACAGCTTTTCGATTGAACAAGGCCATTGTCGCCACCTCCACTCTCCAAAAACAGGGATGGGCAATCCGAAATTTGATTGCAGTGCTTAAAGGTTCAGTGAAGGCAAGGCGTGTGTCTGACAAGTCTGGTCTCAAACAAAAGGTATGGACTTGGCCCAAGGACCAGAGTTGTAAAATATTATAAGTTTTGGTGTGTCTAAGTCTATGGAATGTGTTGCCAATGTTTTAAAGGGGTTACAGACCAGTGTGCATATAGGATCTTCCACTACAAGGTATATATATGCCGATCGTACTTATACAATATTCCCAGTTCAAAGTTTAAAAGCAACTGTGTGGAGCCACCCTGAGGACCCGAGTGTCCAAGAACTCCTTCTGGAGCTTGGTGTGCTGGAACGGCAGGAGCCGTTGTTTTCTCTTGTAGGCAATATGACAATCAGAACCATATGGATTCTCTGACATAATGGCAACCAATATTCTCGCAGGTTTCCTCTTAGCAAATTCCACCCTATCTGGATTGCTCTCAAGTTGTTCAAGAAACAAACATGGTTTCCCACTAATCTGCGGAAAAAAACATGCACTTGAATTTGCCAGGAGGATGGGACCTTGCAGGTTTGCAACAAGCAGCCAGAGATTCCAGATGCTCAGGGCTGACGATCGGTCTACAAGTCAGGGTTTTGGTGGTGTGAATTCACAAATAACCTGTGATGGCATAGATATGTACTTGTTCTTATAGATGTTCTGTGTTGCAGGTGGCTTGATAACTGTTGATAATTTTTGTATAGATAACTGGTCTAGCGCTGGTCCAGCATTGCCCCAGCAGGACGAGTCCGGGCCACCTTTGGCTGATACGGAGTCAACACCCGCAACCTTGCCTGAGCAACATGAAGCAGTCGCCAGCCACGAATCTGCTGATCAGACCTGCAAGTCCAGTGATGGGAACCCACATGAGTCACAAACTGGTGTTGGTTTGGGATCCTCCGAGATTCTCCCAGACATTGAAGACAGCCAGCCCTACCCTGGCCCAACTCAGGAGAGGTGTCAGTGGTATAGCCAAAAATTAAATCCACTTCGATGGTATCATGCACTATATCTTTTTTGGACTTGTCTCAACATTAACAAAATCATTAGCATACATGTCAAAGCATAAGTTTCGATCCTTCAATCCCCAGCCCCCAAATTCTGCAATCTTTTTCTTGTGGCCCATGACCAGGACTTCATCATTCTGTCGGACGAGGAGCATGAGCCTGGCAACAATGCGCTCGCTGCCGAGTTGGAAGCCTTGGTTCAGCAAATTGGCGAGCTACTTGGCTGAGGATAAAGGTTTCCTTATGTTCTGAATTCTTGTAGGTCCATGTGTGCATGTCCAAGAGTGGGAAAGATCCAATGATAAGGCAACCCCATCCCCATGCTATTCCCATTTCAACCCATTTGTTGTTGTTTTCACCTAGGACAGGTGCTCCAGTCTCAGCACAGACATCTCCTGTGTTGGCTTCATTGTCACGCGGCCCATCAGTTCCACTTGGAAGCTTAACTGCAAAATGGATCATTGTGATTTCAAACATATTATTGGCAGAACAGTTCAGAAAGACAAGGAATCTGATACATCCCCATGGTCACATGATATGGTACAAAAAAATGTGCCTGCACACTTTTGTGAAATATATAAAGTAAGGACAGCAGCCCATTGTCGTTCAAGACTCCCTTCCTTTTTCTGGAGATCAAGATTGTACTCTAGTCCAAACCTTTCCACAAGATTGGGCTTACACACCTTTCATGCTCGACATGCTGGCTAAAGAAGGTCAAGTGGCCAGCACTCAGCCATCGGATCATTCGGTCCCATCTGGGCAGCCACCTGATGGGGGTGCTGCAGCTGCCAACAGTGTTCACCAGGAGCTTTGTGGCCAAAAACCATAGAGTTTCGGAATATAACTGATAGTGAAGGTCTACTGTTTACTGGGGTCCTGTGCTGTTTTCAATTGGATTATAGGATATTATATGATACTATAAGATATTATCTGGGTTTTCAGTTATATAACTTATGACATTTCAATTTCAAATCTGCCATAAACATCAAACAACACAAGCACTTGAAAACCCGACAGGAACCTGAGAAGCTGGAAGGTGAGTCTTTGAAAGCTCCTGTGGCAGAGACCATTCCCCCCGCAAGCAGCGATGCCCAAACCTTGCAACATTCTACAAAGGACACCCTTGATGAAGCAGGAAGCAAAGCTACACCAACATCACAAAATGAGCACCCTCAATTTCCCACAGTCGCCCCTGGCCCTGAAACAGCTTACATCACCAGAAGGCAGCAGATCGCAAACAAGAACGATGTCAAGCAAAAGAGGGGCAAGGAAGCAAACGTTGAGGAAGGAAAGGATGAGGAAGCAACGGGTGATGTCGCAGCAAAAGATGAAGAGGCAAAGGATGAGGAGAAGAAGCCCAAGAGAAGGAAAACAGCAGCCAAGTCTAAAATCGCAGCACCTGTGAAAAATCCTGATCAAGATGTCCAGGGATGCCAGGAGCCAGCCCCACACCCAAAGGATTTGCAGCCAAAGCCAAAACGAGCCTACAAGAGAAAGCCCAAAGGAGAGGAGCCACCAGCAGCAGCTGATGAGACCGCCAATGAGGTCACCGATGTTGCGACTGGGAAGCGAAAGAAAAGAAAGCAAAACGAGCCTGCCCCTTCTCCCCCTGTTGCCCCTTCTGGTTCCAGCCAGCATGTGCCCGATGTTGAGGAAGCAGCCCCACATCCCGAAACCAAGCAACCTAGGGCCAAGGCAAAGGCCAAAGCAAAGGCAGCAGGGAAGGGAGCAGGGAAGGGAAAATCCAAGAAAAATGCCAAGCCCAAAGGCAAGGCCAAAGCAAAGGCAAAGGGCGGCAGGCGCACCAGGGGGAACAATGAGGAGGAGAGTGGCGAAGTGGATGCAGCTGATGCTGCTTCTGCATTTGCCCGCCGAAGTCAAGAAACCTCTGAGGTTGTCGAGAGCTTGCGAGAGAAAGTTGCTCTTGAGGTTCGGGATTGCTTGAAGCTTTGTGAAGCTTCGGGGGAATTTTGTGTCAAGGGGAAGCATCAGCATGAAATGGCGCAGATCGATGTTGGGGATGGTCTTCAGCTGTCCATCTATTGGTCTCGCAATGCTGTTGGGTTGAAGAAGGAGATCGATGGAAAGTGGACACAGGTATGTTACTTTTCCCGAACCTCCCCATGCTGTGGCACCAACATCATCCTCGCAAAGTATTGGGTATAGGACTCAGTTTTTCAATTATAAAAAACTTTGAACATTGGCTTATATCGAATTGTTTTTGTATTACTCGAATGGTATCCCCTTGAAATTACCTATCCTTTATGGCCCCCAATCCAAGGCCGAAATCTACTACAAGCACGCGCAGGGTGATCATGCTTGCAGACTACTTGAGCAATTGAAGCTGATGATGGGGACATCCCATTGTGAGGGCCTCCAGCTTTTCCGGAATGTCAGCAAATCAACGGATGCTTAGGATTGACGTGGCTCAGGTTCTTATGAAAATTGGGCCCAGGAGTTGAAGTTCAAAGGAGTAGTGTTCAAACGAACTTGCATACTTCGAACTTGGAGCCACTTCTACAGGTGTCTGATTTCATTTTGATGGGACCAAATGCAACTGCCTTGCCACCTGCAGCCACGTTTTTTTGTGGTCGAACATGGGTCTATGTGACAGGTGTTAATCAACACATGTCCTTTTGGGTTCCATTTGAACAATGGTACTTTCGAGACCGTTGTGATCTAGCTGTGCAACAAGGCCAGCTGGTAAATCTCTCAAATCTTGTAGCCACCCCAGGTTTCCAGCTTATTCGGGTTGGCATATCGCACGAGACCGCAGAAGGGAAGTCAAGGTGAAAAAAACTGTGATCAGATCATCCTAGAAACTTTTCCTTATAACAAAACCAGGCCACATGCACACACGTATTCCCCAGGCCAAACGCTTTTGAACATCTATATGTCGATCTATACTATGGGCGATTTGTGGATCAGTAAGCACTCTGATTTCATTTACAGTACATTCAATGAACAGAACGTTTTTGATTTTGGGTTCTCCAAAGTACAGGTTCAAATCAATATTTCTATTTGCCTCCGGCCCATTGCTTGGAGGCGTCATGCCCAAGCGAAAGGGATGCGGCCCACCTTCTCTGGTGCTCGACCGTGTGCCCGGCATTGCTTCAATCGATTTCCTGGGGTGTTCTGGGTTTGAACATGCCATCTGGAAACAAGATGGAAAATGTCAATCATCAATAAAAAGAAATCTGAGATCAAGATTTATTGTGATACTTCAGCTCGGTCATACTTGAGAGAGATTTTTGGTTGAGGCTATATTCAGCTCGATCGCTACATGTGGATTTTTTGTGGTGGATCACTCTTTGGTGCTCATATCTTTTCTGTTGCAGTGCATGGGAACAGACTTTCAAGCGAATGTATTTTTTGATCGCTTTGAAATGAAACCTATGTCTTTCAATGTTTCTGATGGGAAATTTGCATATCAGATGGACCTGCCCGTCCCTCTACAGCCGTGACTGGGATCAAACATATATGAGAGATATGCACATGCATGATAAAGAAAACTAAACATTATATAACACAATATGAAATCATAAGGTATCAAAGATGGTCTGCATCTATAGGTTGGTTGTTCTCAAGGCTACTTTTCCTCACCAGGTGACATCTGTCTTGTGCCATGGCGCTTCCTCTCGACGTTGACGAGCTCGTCATCAAATTGCAGAAACTTGGCTCCCCGAAGGTTCCTTGGCTGCAAGCCACATCATGCAACTCTTGGGAAAGTAGCGAGACCAGTTGTGAAGCTATATTGGTTGACTTTCTTCTTATGGCCCAATGGACATCCTGAAACATTATAAGATGAAATCACAAATAGTACAGGAACAAACTTGGGAATGTTATCATGTGTTATCCGTCTTTTATCGTAGATCTCTTTGCCAACAGATTACTTCTAAGGGGGGGATCTCCTTTGGTGGGTGCTTCGGCCATTGGAGCTCCTGAGGCGTTTGTAATGCTGGTGGTGCTCGTTGCCTTCACAACGAGTCTCCCCAAGTTTGCCACGGACACGCACATGGTCATGCCATGCGCAATGTCCATCACTTTGAAATTTCTCATATCTTCTCACCCAGACCCGATCGATGATGCTTTCATATGATGGGCTCCTCGAGTTTAGTGGAATTGAGTTTTGACTGCTTCAAAAAAGTTGAACTGACAAAGACACTATACTGTATAATCAGGAAAGATTGGAATGAGACTGGCAACGCAATGATTCAAGAACATGTTCAAACGTTTTTTGACTTTGAAGGTAGAAGGAAGGTTCATTTAAGGCATCGCCCACTGTCAATGCCACTACTATCCAGCCAGCGGTAGCCTTGCTTGTCGACAGGAGCTCCAGTATATTGAAATGTTCGCTGGAGAAGCTAATTGCTGGTGAGCTGTCACTACGGCATTCCCTGCGGCCAGGGTGGATGTGAATTATTTCAAACCTACCCCGGGAACCAAAGAAGCAATGCAACAAAATCCAATGGATTTCCTTTCCTCTCCTGGACTTGCGACCTTTGAATGCATTACAGAATTTAAGAGACTTGTGAAACAACATGCCTTTCTTTGATGAACCAAGTCCCGAATGCCAAATGTTTCTGAGCGGCTGTTCTGGTTTAAGTCAATCAGTTTCTGAAAGTTGAATTTCAGTTCTCAGTGCAAGGATCTGTGTGTGGTTGGTTCTCCAAGCTGCGGAATCTGACTTTTATGCCATCATCGCCGTGGTTTGCACATCGTTTTGTGCCGTGAATGTTGGTACACATAAGCGTTCGATAGCATATCCTGATGGAGATCCCCGATACAGCTACATCTCGGACGGAAACTGCATGTGTGCTCGGACCTTTGGGCTATACAGTAACTGTTTTACCGTTATACCAATTTGGTTTGGTTTTCTGCGTAGTATCTATGGCCATCGGGCTCCCTTGAACAAATAGTGGGGATCCAAACAACTGAAACACCTTGGACCCTGGAATGTTAAGCTTACTTGCACAAAGTGTCGATGGTTGGTCACTGGGCTGTGCTACGCTTCGCTAAGGAGCTGTCTATTGGCTCTACTCATATGTGCGAGAGGTGGGACATTCTTTCTGGAGCAACCTCGTGGGTCTTTGATGGAATATTATGACAAACTCCAATGGCTGACCCGCCGGTTGCCAGTAACATGCCAGAATCAGATCTATTGTGGTAAATGGTTTCCATCTTGAATTTATATACATGCATGTGCATGCATTGCCTTTATGACACATTCCCTGTCCCAAATTGTCCCAATCCTGGACCGCTCACCAGTTGGTGCTTCTAAGGTATATCGAATTGTGTGGTGGATGGGTCTGTACAAACATACTTCGCCCAAACGGCACAAGGCCTTTACCAACAACAAGTTTTGTGAGAGATACAACTTGGGGAGGTTGAAGATGCACGAGTTTCTCAAAGTGCAGGACCCTACCAAAAAAACTTCACTTAAATACCAAGATGGTCAAGGACGAACCAGGTACAAAGGAAACGGCAAAGCTCTCAAGAATTCTCAGATCCTCAGTCTTTATGTCGATCAGTTTTCTTTCACCACCAACGAAAATCCCAAGATTTGTTCTACAATTGAATTGGTAAAGTTTCATGGGTCATATCCTGTAACGGAATGTTATCAGTGATCTATTTTTACATGGAGATTTCATGTTGAATCTTAAAGCATGTTTCAATCAGTTGTATTATAATTGTTATCTGAATCGAATTCTTAAGTTCAAGATTCCAAGATCAAAGGCCATCAAAGGCCCCAATCAAACTATCAAGTCACCCTTAGCATGTCCATTCAAATTGAAATGGAAATAACCTGCTGACCCAAATTTGGCTGGCCAATGGTTTTATGGAAATCTCATTTGGTTGGTGGTAATTGTTAAAGCCCCGGGCCAGGTGCTATATACAAAATCACTTTCGAATCCCAGGACCTATCCAGAGCAATTCGGATGGCACACCGTGAAGAACATGCCCAAGTTCAAAACGAGAGGCGAAGGGTGCCCCAAGCTTGCAAACGAGGAGGCCCTTGATGGTCCTCAGGCATTTGCTGAGATGTCTTGGGGCCATGACTTGGATTGGTCAGATGCACGGCTTCTCCCGGCCATAGTTTACTTGAAGGGTGGGACTGCCTTAAAGCTTCCAGAAAAATGGAAAGTGGTATTTCCCCGACACCTTGACCTTTAGAGCCAGAAAGGGGGGGCCCATGGGACTTGGTAAACTTTAGTGTGAGCAGGATTTGCTCCAAAAACCGAGCTAGTATGAGGAAAAACACTATTTTTTGGCATATTCTAGGGTGGTTCCGTTCAAGTCCGTCCGAACCCGTTCGAACCCGTTCAGAACCGTTCAAAACCATTTGTACCCGTACTCCTGCGACAAAATTATGATAAATTTTCCGTTCGAAACCAACAGCGTATCCGTTCGAAACCGTACCCGTTCGAAATGCGTTCAAAATGCGTTCAAATTGCGTTCAATTTCCGTTCGGGAACCGTTCGGGATACGTAATTTTTATGTATTTCTTTCTGATTTTCAGGTCACCCACATCATTGATTTTGAGACCATCCCGGGGCCCTCAAATTCTGGCTGAGCTGGCGAACATGACTTTAGTGTCCACTTGCCTTGAGGCTACTTGGGGTTATGCCTCAATTTCGGCAAACAAATTAGCAGTGGCATACAAAAAGTTTGGCAATTTGCAGTTGGTATAGGTGAAATTTGCATCAGGTGTTGCTTCTACAATCATGCCATGTGGACCCATGTGGCCTTTCAGTGGTTTATAACATGTGTTTAACCGTCTAGTGGCAAATTTGATGATATTTATGCCGACAGCTATTTTGATTCAGGCCAAAAAGGAAGCATTAGGCAACTATTTTGTTTGCATTTACCCATGTCTTCGGTGGGTGAACGGGGTGTTTCCTTGAAGAGCCAACAATGGAGTTGCTCTGAGCTAGTTCGTGGAGCTGAGCTGTGTGCAGACTTGGCTGGGCTTGCTTTAACTGTGAACCCCAAGTCGCTGACCCGAGACCAATTGTTGAAAGCGATTCAGGACTTCCAAGTGTGAATCAAAAAACATATCAGCTGATGTTAGTTTTTCAACATAACTCTACTATTGGTACCCCTTTCCACTACAATCCAGGAAGCGAAGGGCATTCTGAAATCACCAGAATCTACTGTTTCTTGGCACATTGTGGATGTGGCAACTGCCTTGCCATGTCCAGCCTGAAGAAGTTCAAACCTGCATGCATGTATATTAATATAATATATACAACTGTGAATTCAATAGTTTCACCACTAAAGCCCCACTCTTGGTTGGGCTGTTCCCGTTGAGGCTTCAGCGAGTGGCTTGCTGAAACCCAAGGAGGAACCAGCTGAAGAGGATACCCAAAACATGAACGACGTTTGGAATGCTGACACAATTCCTGCCGAACCTTGTCAAATTATGAGTATAGTGCATTCCCCTTGTGTCATTTATATAATGTTTTCACCCAAGGCCTTCACTTGCCCCAATCACCTGTCCCAATCTTCCAAGCCAACCCTTGCAGATCCACGGATCCTGAGGAACTCGAGGCTGCCAAGCCACCGATGCAGGATCAGAATGACGGCCATGTTCCAGCAGAACCTTGGCTGCATGGTTATCTTCATGCTGGGTCACATTCCGGTGAAATCAAGTTTTGTTCATCCATGATTTCTTGATTTCTTTATTAATTCACCTCAAACAGCTGTTCAACTATATTTCATATATATCGATCGAAATCTATAATGCTGAGGTGGTTTCTGCACCGCCTTGTCCAACTTGGACACAGAACACTACCCCGAGGGAGAAGCAGGATGTGAAGCGAACGGTTCCAGTCTCTGAGGAAAAAAATTCCCCTGTCAAGAAAGCTTTGAAAGCACGTGATGAAGGTAGTGAGAAGATGACTGACGCAGTTCCCACCCCTTCCCCAGCACAACCGGATCCAACTGGACAAGCTGAAGTGTTGAGGAATCTGAACCTTGCTTTGGACAGGATTAGTCAACTTGAGGCACAGTTGAAAGAGAAACAAACCTCGGTGCCTGCCAGTGCTGCTGGCACCCCGCTCTCTCCAGGTGTTTCCATGCAGACACCGCTCTCAAAAGGCCATCGCAGCAGCCCAGACACAACTTCTTCAGGATCACCAGGTGATGCAGAGCAGGATTCAACACCAGGATCCGGCAAGGAGGATGGGCCAGATAATGTGAATGGAAAGAGTGGGGAAGTTATTGAATTTCCCAATGGTGCTGGGTTCATGTCACATGATGCCCTTCGTATGCGTCTAAGAAGGCTTTGTGAGGAGAAAGCAAAGACCAAGAAGTGCCATGTTGATGTGAAAACCCGGGAACAGTATGTTCGAGGGGGAGAGGACAGAGAGTGGCTAGAGATTGCTTTGGTGGAAGCACTCCAGAAAGTGGGTCCAGACAGAAGTCAACACAAGAAGCTGACAGTTTTTTGGCGAACAGATCATGCTCACCATCTCCCAAAAGATATCCCCATGATTCCCCATGACACTTTTTGAACATGTATTTCTCATGGGCTTATGGGCAATAATAGGATGAAATATTGTATGACAACTAATGGGTCTTAACACACCCTTCCATCAAGTCAACTTATATTTTTTTCGTGGGGCCTCAGGCTGAGTTCAAAGCGCGAGTCATTTTGGTTCGCGAACGCATGGAAATGAAGGAGCAGGAGGTCACGGGACAATGGCTAACGGAGGAGAAGATGGTCAAGTCTGGAGACTACACGGCGTAGATTGGTTTGCATTTATCCAACAAACACTGCGCATGCTTGATGTCGTGTGTGCACATGTGCATGCATACTGCGTTTCCGAGAGACAAAAAAACATCAGATTTTGAACCATCTAAGGACTACCATCGCCAAGGTGATTGCATACTGCAATCGGTTCCCCTCCGCTCTCGTGCGGTGATCCTCCCTTGTTTATGCTCTTTCGAGTGTTTGCTTTTTTTGATATACAGTAAAAACAAAGCATCAAAAAAATGAGGCACCCCGGCACCCCCACAGGACTTTGATCATTGATCCCTTTAAAACCCAGAATTACCATCATGGTTTGTGCCAGGAGGTGGAAGTACGATACTGAAGTCAGGGAGTACTTCGTGGAAACCTCCACCAAGCAAACCATTCGCAACACTGAACTGTACAAGCGGCAGGAGGCGTGCGACGCTGGTGATGCTCTGCAGCAAAAAGAAAACCGGTCCTTAGTTCGAACTATAAGCCAAAACATATAGGTTTCATTCGGCAACTTAAGGAGAAAGAATTTGAGATGCCAATGGCACATCAAGATGCACCCTTGGCTCTTGCTGATGAAGAAGGTATGACACCTGAACCTGAAAGACTGGGAGACAAGGCCTTCATTTACCTGCAACATTATAGCCCATATATAGATCGAGCTTGATGTACATCCATGGCATCTTTCCAATCCACCCTTTACACATGTTGGCCGGCAGGTTGTGCCAGATCTCACCAAGTTCATGGATTCAGTGCATTCCAAAATGATGCAAGCTCAAGGGATGCTGGGAAAACTCGAGATTGAGGGTGGAGGGGTTGCCAACGAAGCAACCAAATTGCCATAGCCTCAATCTTGAACCTCCCAACCCCAATACTTTGCTTGGATCATTATATACAAAAGGTCCTTGCCAACACAACTTAGGCTGATGGAGGAGGTCAAGAAGATCAGCAATGACCTGACCACGTGCTTCAAAGACCTTGCATCAGTAAAGGCCGAGCTTCTTCTTCAGGAAGATTCCAAGGACATTTCTGATGAGTTTCCTCGGCTCTAATGGCATGTTCTTTGGTGGGTGCAAGTCGTACTGGAGTTGAAATCCACCAGTGTAGGTTCAAACTTAAGGGCCTTAAGGGTGCTGCCTATGGAGGCTCAAGGGTCAAATTGCCAGAGGGTAAGATGAAAATCACGTCATCACCATTTGATGTTTCGCACCATGCAAGTATATAGGTGACAATTATACAACTCAGATTATCAATACTGTCAGCAGGGTTTGGGTGTTCGCCAAATGTCCCACTCCAAATCTGGATGTGACGATGGTCTTGATGATGAGAGTTGCTGGCTACAAGAACTCATCGACTACAATCGAGCAGTAACTTGGTACATGTTCACATTCCATGTCCTGAAGTTGATGGGTATGTGATATCTATTAAGTTTTAAAGTGAAGGATGCAGAACATTTTTTAAGCCCCAGTGAAATTTACAATATCTGCATGGCACCAATTGTGTTATGTTTTCTTTTGTGCGGCCACCATGACCGAACATGCAGCTTTGCGGCATGCATCCCTGGGTGATCATGACATCCTCCCTTGACTCCATCTCAAGGCAAAGCCATCGCAACCTCAGCATGCAGCGCATCAAATATGCAACCCTTGGGCTGGGAAATTGAGCTCTGGGATCTTGGGACTGCCCAGGGCAGTGCAATGTTTTGCGGCGATCAATGCCGATCCTACAATAGACTGCCGGCTACCTAAGAATGGTGCTCTAACAGGTGCTATTTTGACTCATGCCTGTGCGACTGTGGACTCGATCCTGCGTGAGCAGGGTCCAGCAGTTTACAAAATTGGCTACACACACTGTCCAAGCTTTAGAATGAGGAACCGACTATATGGATATGTCCATGATAGGCATCAGAAATGGCAACAAATGGTTGTAGTCTATTGCTCAGACGAGCCGGTGGGACCTGCTTTTCTCGAAGCAGCTTTAATTAACAAGCACAAAGGAACCTCATCAGGACTTGGAGATATTGTATTTTCTATTTTGTATTAACTATTTTGTTTACCCACTTGCTCTGAATTTTAAAGCCACCTACGTACTGGAACCCAATATATGATATTGGAACCCAATATATTATATTGTCACCCCTTCTGGTTTTCCACAATAAGGATCTCCTGGATGTCGCAATGAGCGAGATGGTGGAGAATCAGTCCAAGTTCAACATGGGGGACCTTATTTTACTTATATCATCTTTCAATCCTTCAAGCGTGCCAGCACTGCGCCAGTAGTTAAAGCTCAAAGCTGATGAGCCAAGTTTCACAAATAGAAAGTTGCCACTGCGTTTGCTAGAACCCAAAAAAATGAACGCTGCACACAAGGAACCAAAGACTTTTGCCGATTGTGCCAGCCCAGCCAAGGTTGCGAAAGAAGATCGATGATGGGAAGGCTGCAGTCAAGAAGCCGTGGCTTGGATTGGATCACAGCCACTGCCCACTCCAGATCATCATACATTGATAGTCTCCTCAGCTCTTATGATAGAGTATGGGTACTGTGTTCGGCAACGTAAGGTGTGCAGATCTCATCACTATTGAGTCTCGCATCAAGTGTCTAGCCTGCATTTTGCAGTTGATGGGCCAAGACTTTTGTCTGAACATTTTGAACCAGATTTCATTCCGCATGTCACTGAATGTTTGGGGAATTTTATATACCCTTTCTGCCCGCCAAGGATAATCCTGGCCGATATGAAGAAAGCTTCCCAGCAGCCCGGTGTCAAAAGGTCTGCCAAGCCCAAGGCACAGGCAAATGGCACTGGTGCTGATGAATCTGCGCCTGATCAGGCGAAGCCTGGGCCTAAGGCGAATCCCAAGCGAGTGCCAAAAGCGAAAGCTAAGTGATGAAACCCATATCTGAAATCTATGGCGCTGTGCGGTCAAAGTTTTCAATTTCAAAACTCACCATTCACCTTTGGTGTTTCGAAGGTATGGGTGGAATCAGACTTAGTGCGCCCTGAACAGCTGATGGGCGGAAATACTCCAGCCACTGTTTTTGAACAAATGTCACAACTATTTCTGATTGTTCCTGATCTTCCACAAAAAATCGATATGGTTTTGATCAAAGTGGCAGGCTCAGATTTTCATGTCAAAAGGGTTCAAAAGTATTGGGCGTCAGGGCACCAGCATACATGCCCGGCCTGAAAGGGGGATAGCATGTCAATGACATGGCATGCTGTGTGATCATGCTAGAATCCGATGAGATTCATGGCGTGCTTTAGATTAGTGTCGATTTGAGGCGGCAAAAAAAGTTGCAGCCCTACTAGTGTCCCACCACTCACCCCACAATAGATATGCAGCTGGGTTTCATCCCATCGCTGCATGGCGACCGCCACTGATGCCAGGACCATCGAAAGCAGCCATGGATCTCGCTTGGAGCTATGCCAAGGGTGCTGCTTGGTGGAGTGCATGGCTCTTCAAACCATTTCAAGCCCTGTGGATGTTTCTGGTGAGAGTTTTCAACACCCCCCAAATATATGAATAAGACCTAATACTTTTTGTTGCTGCTCTATCTCATCTCCAAGGCCCCATGCACTGAAATCATTGAAAGGGCCACTTCTATTGTGGACTATGACCTTAGGGATGAAAAGCAGAGCCCTGACGCTGCTGCATCGGTCACGCGAGTTTGCCCAGTCCTCCATGACTTGTATAAAGCTGATCTGTCCATGTCTGATTCTTGAAGCCAAAGTCTTAGCATGTTATTATTTGTGGTACCTGTTTATTCTATCGTACTATGGTATTGGTTTAACATGTTTGTGGGGCAATAAAACCATATTTTATGGAATTCTGATTTCTACGCTTTCTGTCTCCATCTCCTTTGGAACAAGGAAAAGGTTGTGTCACGAGTCTTTGCCAAACATGGCCTACGCTTGGACATTGAAACTTCCTTTGGTCAAGTCGGGAATGTTCGTCGATATCCATATATCAAGGTTGAGTCGCTGATCAAATCTATGGACCGAAGGGGACAATTAAGCAAACTTCTTGGTTTCGGGGAACTTTGCAACACTTTGGACAAAGCAGCGGCAGGTCTGGAGAACTTTTGGAGAAACTACCGTTTGTGCCATGGTGGGCACGAAGTGTTTTCATTGGCTGATGCAGGGCAGCTCAGCCTTCGGCAATGTGTGCCAGTCTTTTTACATGGGGACGAAGGGACAACCTACAAACGGGATGGTTGTTTCGTTGTCAGCCTGCATTCGCCCTTGGGGAGGGGCACTGTGAGCAATAAACTTGGGCCTATGGGGGATGCACCGCTGGAACCACACACCAACTTTGTTGGACATTCTTTTGAGACTCGCTTTATGCTGGGTGCCCTCTTGAAAGTCATTTGGTGTCTCAAGTTTAAGATGATTTTGTTCTTTCCCTCAACCCCTTCTAGCTGGCTTACTTGGTTTAAACTTAGTTTCATTTGGCATACTTTGAAACCATTCACAACTTGATCCAACAGGTGCTTGCACTTAGTGTTATGTGATTCTCTGCTGCAGGAAGATTACAGGGACTATGGTGACAACGAGCCCTATCATCAGCTCTTGGAACTGGTGATTGCATCATTGGATGCAGCCTCTCGGGAAGGGGTGCCTCTGTCTAGCGGGGAAAGGCTTCATCCGATTCCAATTGGAAACAAAGGGGATTGGCCCTACTTGGTTGCTTGCACACAAAGTTAAGTTGCATCTATAATTTTCTAAAACTCAGGTTGTTGTTTGTGGATGTTGCCAAATTTATGGGTTGTGGATTGATGTTGTCTTTTGGGAATGTCCTCCTATAGGCTACATCGGCAAAGCTCGTCAGAAGCTATCGAAATGTACCACGTGCTGCTCAAAGTGCCACTCCCTGTACCGGCATTTGTCACCTTTGCAATGCGGGCCAGCCACTGTTTGACTACGAAGATGTGTAACTTGAATTTAATTTCATTGAGCATGGTTGGGGCATGTCGGGGCAATCAAAATTCAGTTCCACTTTTTCCCATGGAAGATGCTATAAGGGTTTGCTAGGAAGAAACCTTTTACTGACTTTGCTGTGCTCCTGCCACAGGTCCAACACGCCGGCCTTTCTGGCGACTCTGGGGGTGGACATGCCATGGAACGAGGAAGCTGCATTCACCCGTGTGTTGATGCACGACAGGGGCCAAAAACCCTTTTTTCACAAGATTGACCTCTTTCACACTGTGAGCTTAGGGGTTGGGAAAAGCTTTGCAGCCTCTAGCCTCTCAATCCTTCAAAATCTATGCAATGGAAGTTCTGTAGTGTCTCGCATGGATGAGCTAAGCAGCATGTACATGGAGTTTTGCCGAGAACCTTGTACTCAACTGTTTTTTTCACCTGACTCGTTTCTGGTTTTGACACAAGAAAACATGTGGGAACCTAGGGACTTAGGGTGTTCAAAGACATTTGCCTTGTTGATAAGGAACACCACAAGACCAACTACGTCCGCAACATTGATCGTTCGCTGCTGGGTTGGGTGGG